CCTCGTGTGTCACCCATGGCCTTGTGTCCTCATGTTGTCCTCATGTCCCCACGTCACCCATGTCCCCATGTTCTTGTTCTCATGTGGGTATCCCCATGTTCTTACGTCCTCATGTTGTCCTCCATGTCCCCACATCCCCATGTCTTTGTCTCCATGTGTCCCCCATGTCCCCATATGTGTCCCCCACGTCCCCATGTGTGTCACTGTATCCTTTTGTCCCCATGTCCCCATATGAGTCCCCCATGTCCCCCTGTATGTCCCCATATGTGTCCCCATGTTTTATTGTCCTGTGTCCCTCCATGTTCCCCCATGTGCTCTTAGTGTCCCCATGTCGTTATGTCCCCATGTGCATCCCTGTGTTTGTCACCATGTGTCCCTGTGTCCTCCCCATCTCCCTTTGTCTTTATCTTTCCATGTCCCCCCCGTGTCCCTGTGTCCCCCCATCCCTGTACATCCCCATTGTCCCATGTCACTGTCCCTATGTATCCCCATCTTCTCCTGTCCCCCCGTGTCCCCACTGTCCCTTGTCCTGCTCTGCCCCCCATGTCCCTGTGTGTCCCCATCTTCCTGTGTCCCCATCATCTCATGTCTCTCTGTGCCCCCCCATGTCCCAGTGTCCCTGTGCCCCCCCATCGTCCCGTGTCCCCCTGTGTCCCCGAGCCGCGTGATGAGCCCTTACTCAGCCGAGCGCCATCACTGTCGGTTTTCCTGGGGACCGGACGAGCCCGCGTCCCCCTCACCCCGACACAGAGTCACCCCCGGGGTCCCCATGTTCCCTCGGGGGGTCGGGTCTGGCTCAGGGGACGCCAGAGCGGTGGCGGGACCCAGCCGGAGCTGGCACAGCCCGGGACGGGCGCTGTGATGAGGGGACAGGCTGATGGCGCGGGGACATCGGGGACACTGGGGCCATCAGGGATGCTGGGGACCCTGGGGATAGGGATGGGAACAGGGTCCCTGGGGATGGGGACACTGGGGACCCTGAGGACAGGAAGCCTGGGGGCAGGGCCCCTGGAGATGGGGACACTGGGGACAGGGACAGCAATGGGGACCATGGGGTCAGGGACCCTAGAGGACAGGGACAGGGAATATGGGGACAGGGATCCTGAGCATGGGGACAGGGGACACTGGGTACAGGAGCTATGGAGACAAGGGACACTTGGGACAGGGGCCTTGTGGAGGGGGACTATGGGGACAAGGGTCCCTGGGGACAGGGTCTTATGGGGTCAAGGGACCCTGGGGACAGGGTCTGTGAGGACAAGGGACCCTGGGGATGGGGTCTGAGGGGACAAGGGCCCCTGGAGGGGCCGGGGGAAGGGGTGGCAGCAGGCAGTGGCCCTGAGCATGTCCCCCAGGGCCTACGTGTCCCTGTTCATGCGTCACCTGTGCGAGCCGGGGGCCGACGGCTCCGAGACCTTCGCAGACGGGGTCCCCCGGGAGGGGCTCTCGCGGCAGCAGGTGCTGACCCGCATCGGCGTCATGTCCCTCGTCAAGAAGAAGGTACGACCCCCCCCCCGGGCCGCCTGGGTGTCCCCCCTGGGTGCCTGAGTCCCCCCTGGACACCTGGGTCCCCTCCCTGGGTGCCTGGGTCCCCCCGCAGGGTGCCCGGGTTCCCTCTGGGTGCCTGGCTCCCTGTATAAATTTGCTTTGGGGGTGCAGCTCCCAGACACTTGGGTCCCTCCTGGATGCCTGCGTCCCCCTGCATGCCTGGGTGCCCCCCCTGGACACCTAGGTGGCCCCCCAGACACCTAGGTGCCCCCCCCAGACACCTGGGTCCCCTCTGGGTGCTTGGCTCCCTGTATGAGTGAGTGCTTGGGGGGGAGTGCAGCTCCCAGACACCTGGGTCCCTCCCCG